CCTAGAAATCTTACATATTCACAAAACTGATAGCTTCAGCTCCTTCTTATCAAGAGTAACACCTAGAGGTCAATACACTCACTTCTCAGACATATCCATCAACAGGCATCATGAATCATCTTCCCGGTGTAACAGAAAAGTCACACTAAACCGAATTTAAGTTTTAGATTCTCAAAGTTAAATTTCATCTATAGAGTCCTGGGACATTTAAATAAAAGTCTCTCAGTATATTACAAAAACAAGAATCTGACATGAGCCTAATTCAGTTGTTTCTCACCAGGATGACTATGCATTTCTTTAATTGCATTGGTAATCTGTAACTTCAGTAAGTATTTCAGAATCAGCATATTTCACTATCACAATCAAAGATAACATCCCAAGTATTGATGTTTTCCCCTCCACAATAATAGTGCCAGGAGAAAATCTTCACTTGTCAGTGTTTTCACTTACTTGTGGAAGAAAAGCAAGGCACCACTGAACTCTTGAACAAAGAGCTGAAGATAAACAAAACCCAAGTACACAAGTATTCTTTACCTGATAAATGTCACTTAAAAAGATACAAGTAGTAGAAAGAAGTGGCATCTCCAAAGGATCAAGCCTAATGCTAAAAATAAACCCCAGACATGTCACAATTAAGACTTAAATGCAACACAAACTGCGACTCTACAATCCTACACAGATGAAAAGAAAAGCTACCTACAACTGAAATTCTTTAGCAGATCTGAGACACGCCCAGTCATGACTTCTTCAAAAAGAGCTACCAATAGGCCATGCTAGAGACTTGCGCTGTAGCCACAGAATGAAGCCCTGCCCGATACTCAATGCCACATACCTCAAGCTGTGCCGTTAGTTCATCCCAATACGTTATTGAAACGAACGCAGCAAAGGCTGTGGAGGAGAGGAAATCAGATGGGAGGTACTTACAGCATGGACATCTTTAACTGGTTACTAGTTTCCCAAGGAAGTTACTTTCTTCCTCATGTAACAGCCAACATATTTCATATTTAGGTAACCCAAGCACTTCCCTGCACAGGTTCATGAGGGGGGAATATTCACAGTCTTTCCACATACAACAACATAGTTCTATTAAACATAGTTTACTATTAGATATCTCAGCAACTGCCTATCACCAAGTACAGGGAATAACAAAAATCAGTATCCTGTTCCCTACAAAGTGCAGCAAAAATCGAGGTAGGAATTCCCAGGTCCTCTCAACAAGAGACTAGCCAGAAGGACACTTCTGCCATGAGGAATACAATGACCTAGGGCTTGTCTAGCTTCTTAAAGATCAAGAGGGCAGCTGGTAAATTTTGAGTCAGTACTATGTCACTTTAAGCAGGCAACCACCTCCTATAAACACACTCAATCCACTAACTTTCTGCAAGCCCCAGGGACAAGACCCAACTGACTCTATGATACAAGACTTTTCCCTGCTTCACACCCAGTAAAAGAAGGAACCTTTTCCACCAGAAGAACCATCATCCCAGAACCATGCACCATTATCATCTGCACCTATCCCACCTCACCTTCTACAGACTCCCTTGATGGAGGAGAGATGCTGCTTTATCATCAAGAACAGCAAAAACATACCTGACAATGACACCAAATTTCAGCCTGGTTGAGAGCCAGTGTGGGTGAACTGGATCTCTCAGCCAGCTCCTGGATAACATGCTGCAGAGCCTGAACAAATCATCTCTTTCTGAAGCAACCAACATCAGCAAATGTATGTTCAGTGCTCCAATCAAACAAGAGACTTCTGCCTACGTTTAAGTGCCAACATAGCAACTAAAGGTCTATCACTGGGAAAAGCAAGTATCAGCAAAGGGAAAGTTTTGTATCCACATAAAAGGAGTGTATCATAAGCACACCATAGAGCGGCCCTGCTCACACAGCCGCAGGTGAAAGTAGCTGGGGGGGGGTCTGCTGTCCTCCACAAATCCAGACCTGGGGAGGTGTATCAGCCTGTCACCGCTGATACCGCCAAGAGAAAATAAGCCCCCAGCTCTCACAAATTTTGTTTCACAAAATCTGAAAACAGAAATACACACAGCTCACCAGTCAAGGAAACAAAGACTTTCTGACCCAGGGTTCAAAAGCTTCACAAGCAAAAGCAAAAACTTTCAGAACTGGAGAGTTAACAACTAAAGTTGTGAGATCAAAGAGTTGCAAAACACTGTGCACAGGACATTTAAGATCAAGTATTTTTAAAAACCAAACAGCATGGCTCGACTGTGGACACGCAGCATATCCAAAATTCAAGTTTAAGCCAAGGGTTACATGGAAAGTATAGCACATGTTTCCCCCTCTGCAAAGTCTTCCCATGTAAGAGCAGCGTATGCCCATAGTTCGAGATAGTGTTCTTGTCCAAGCATGTCAGAAGGGTAACAGTCACGGACACAAATTATCAGTCTTACTCAAACACGATCTATACCAAACTGCATCTTTAATAAGCCTATATTACAGACAGGCTGAGAAATCTCATTTTTGTAGATGTGACAATTTTTTTTGCTGTACAAAGAAAGCTCAAAAATACAAGTGATGCATGCAGATTCAGACTGAATCCTACCTACACAACTCTTGGTTACACAGGAAAGCCAACACAATACACAAGTATGATTTAATGTTTGTACATCACGTTCTTTCCATAAAGAGCTATGTTTACTCATTTTCACAAACCCAATCCCCTTGTACCTGGAAAGTAGAGAAATACTCTGCATGCAACCAAGATGTTCTGGACCAAGTACCCTGTGTCTAAAGCAGGGCTCCATCCTTCTGGGATAGAGTCATAGATGTCCAGATAGCTTTCAACACTGTGATTTCTGCACATTGAACCTGCCAGTACAATCATGTCTAACCCACACAGACTCTTAAATAAAAGTCAACTATAGCTGATTTGAGGAGAGAGGAGGTATCTTAAGGAGCTAACAAAACCAAATTAATTCCTGTATTTAAGAAGTGTTTCAGTCCAGCTATTTTCTTTGTATGCCTCATTCACTGAGCTCTATTAAATGCTATTTTTTTGAGCTGACTTCCTAAAATGAAGGGAGTTAGAAGGCTCAAAGTTAGCCTAAGTAACTTTTAAGACCTTTTTCCCTTTCTGCCACAGTGGTTAGTCAAGAAAACTGTTCTTCCTCACAAGTGAAGTCCGCAAGACAGGCTCCAGGTTAGACTTTTTAGTGTGGAATGTTTCCCCATCTATTTCTTTAATTCTAAAGCTGACCACTCTCAAATGTGCACAGGCAATAACAATTTCAATTAGACTTTCAAGCCTATGAATTCACAACAGCAATGGGAAGAAGTAGTGAGAAACTACCTCAGGTATTCTGTACTGCAAAGGATTTATCTCTCCATAATGTCTGCTCTGCAATCTGTGTGTGTGAATTCAGGAGTACCAGACTCTGAAGTCCCACTAGATTTATGAGCCATAGTATTTCCCAGAACACAGACAGCACCAGTACACTTCTTTTTAACAGCCAGCACAACATATCAGCATCTATTGCCCATTTCAACTACTGGTATATAAACTTTTATAAATTAACTACTTTCCTACAAACCAATGACCAGGACTCTAAATACTGTATCAATACAAAATGTTTAAGATATTAAAGACTTAAGAGTTAATATAATATGAATGGTTTTAAAAAAATACCAGTTTTTTAATCTGTCACGGGCTTCCAACTGGGCTCCCACCTCAAAGTTGATCCCTCTTCTATTCGGAGGATGTTTTGTCATTTTGTAATATCAACACTGCTGATTTTATTCCCCTGAAAAATGCAATTAAATATCAATCACTAATCAAGACATACACAAAATAAGCTTATGCACCATAATCCCCAAAAGCTAGATGTTAAGGGACCTCTGTATTTTTGGTTTGCGGGAAGTAATGGGGCAACTATCTCTTAAACAAGGGTTCCCAAGTGGCAGTGTGCAGAGAAAATGTGTTCAAAATGGCAGCTACTGGACCATGAAAGATCAAAGCTCAACCTTTGTCCATCAGTCCAAATCCCAGGCCAATTAAGAACTCTGCAACCCAATGTTTATTCACAACTGAGACAGACATTTCATGGTATTCTCTCCCCCCTCCCAGTTTTGATGAAAACAAGTAATCCAGTAAACAGGAAGTGGGCAAAACCAAACAGAATAACAATCTTTCAACAGCTACCATGTTAGTGAAACCCTCAAGAACGCTATGTCACCTCATCACTACAAATGCAACAGAGTTCGAAGACATTACAGATATGTAGTTTCTTTAACCAATTTTAGAAGACTGTCTATACTGCTTGCATATCTGCATTGCTTTCTTCCCACTTCTCCACCATTTTAACCAGAAAATAAAAATAGTCTTCATTAAGACATGTTTCCAACAGATACTATGAAGGTTTAAGAGTCTTGTCAAAGTACTTTCTCTCAAAGTACATTTAGTGGAAAGCCTGATCATGAACTAATTTTCTGAAATTTTTGTCAGTAGTTTCTCGCAATTGAAAGATACAAATGATGACCCATTCCTGTAGTTTTCAAGCTCACGGGATCCAAAAAAACCGAATAAGTTTTATTCAAAACTGTCCTCCTTACAGCAAGGCTATATCTTAAAGATTCAATTAAAGATGTATAAAACGGACACAAGTTAAATTAAAAATCATTCTGGTCTTACACTACAAGAATAAGGAGACATGCACTGGCAACAGAAATAAGCAGCAGCATTTTGGTCCACACAGTGCATAAACAGCAATGCTATAGCTGCATCTATAAAAGGATCAACACTACTTTATGAAGAGCTACTCTAAGTTCAAGCATGGTTCAGAAGTCAAAGATTTTCATGAAAGTCAAAGCTGCTATCTCAGGGAAAAACTGCTCCATCGACACACTTTTTAAACCAGGCCATTTGTCAAGTGCTGGCTGTGGAAGCACTCCCACCACCTCGAGTACAATAACCACATTGCAAAGAAGCTTCTCTACCAGAAAATGATCTGCTGTCTTCCTCTACAGCAATGCTTTTAGGCTTATCTTCACTACCGTTAAAGCAGCCTGCAACGGTATAGTGAAAAAAAAAAAATGCTATTGCCTTTAAGTTCAATTCACAACAGTGATTCACACAAAACGAAAAAAAATATTTTAGCCACCTAGGAACTAAGAAACATTGCGAGATACTTTTCTAGAGTATCTGATCACGAACTGTGAGTTTGCCCAGCATGGATCTTCATCAGTCCAGGAATGAATACCTTCTAATAGGGCTAGAGGTTGGGGCAGGGGACAATTTACCTAGGACCTCCATAACTTGTAACTAGGAAAGGAGAGGGGGAAGGAAATCAAGGTAGGATGGTTGGGGTTTTACATTTTGATGAAAAACAAACAGTAAGGATTAAAAATCTGGAAACCCAAACAGCAAGTACAAAGCTACATTTTCTTTTTTAAACAGTTTATCCACCCACATCCCAAACATCCACTATTTCCTCTGCAGATTTACATCATTAAAATATCACTTTCTCACACTAGCAATAGAATTTCATGCCTCCAAATGTGGAGCAGACACACATTTTGCTTAACACTTGTAGGAGAAATTACAGCTGCAAGATGACTCTTGTCATAGTAAACCTACTACTAAAACCTTACTAGAAATTCAGTCAAATATTAAAAAAAAAAAACTATGAATATCACAACTAACGGGAAATCTGAGAAAACAGCGAAAGCCATTTAACTACATTTATGGAGGCTGTAGATTCTGTGAAAAATCTGAACTCTGTCCACTTTACAGCTAGAGGCAGCTGAACACCAGCATTTGTCAGAGCACACACCTACAGCACCTCACAAACTCGTTAGAGCCTGTTACAAGGCAGCTGATTAGAAAGTTCAAAGAGAGGAGAAACTGCATGGGCAAAAGTCTCTGCCCCCTTCCCCAAAGTAATCCTTCCTGTTGCCTCCCAAATTATGAAACTTGGACTGCTTTGGGTTCTCTCTCCCACCCTGCGACAGGATTTAAGCTGATCCAGCAGTCCCTAGACTCAGCACGCCTTGCAAAGCAGACTTTTTCATTTGCAGCTAATTTCAGGAACAGCTTCCTCAAGCAGAGACATACTCAGTAGAACAGTACACAAGATAAATTACTCAATAGAGGATCTCAACTATTTTACCCTGAAACATACAACAAGACTGAAACTATATGATATGACCTCCACTGGGAGCCATCACAGAGCTTTTCACAAACAAGGCCAACAGGCAGCAGTAAAGCCCATCCACGTTTCACCAGCATGACCCTGACCATGTGCAGATCTTCATTTCTCAGCAAGAATGCGCTGAACATAGGAGCTTGCCTCTGCTTCGAGATTTTATGTCTCAGCCTCTGTCCTCGACTGCAAGGACTACTTAAAAACCTTGAACTACATCAAAAGACAGTGTTAACAACAAACAACCCCAGACTAATCAAACACAGTCATGGCTACGACCTTTGAAATAAGAACACTTCACCAGAACATCACTTCTAAAATCTTCTTTAGCAGAAAATGAATTTGTATTGACTTGGCAACTAAACCAAGACATAAGCAGGCTTTTCACTTCAGTAACTCTGGGAATCCTTTTCTCAAGCGCTCAGGACCACAATTAAAACAAGGGGTAGTACTAGGCCTACCCCCAAAGCCCTATGGCTTTTCTCCAAAACTTCTTATTCCACTATAAGGATTAGACCTGTTTCAGGAACAAACACTCCAGGACTCAGAAGGAGAGGAGAGAGGGATGAGGAATGATAGAATGAATCACTAGTTCAAACAGAAAATCTACCTAAACGTATATCACTGAAACTACACATTACTGTTGTTTAAAAGGGAGAGCCTTTTCTTCCCAATAAAAGTCACCATGAGATAATTTAGCTTTTAAAGACTATTCAACTATTCAGATACTTACAGAAACCAGTCAGGAATGCATATTTATATCAGGGCAATGCAGAGGACAATATGCTTACATTGATCTCTTCAGGGATCGTGATTTTTGTCTTCTAAAACAAGTTTTCTGCTCTGCCAAAAGCGCATGCCCTGTATACCCACACCTGTAGCTGTTCTTGATTCTCTTTAGTTTTAAGCTGTGTCAGTGCTCAGCCCCAAACCCAGCACATCACTAAGTTCCAACAGAAGAGGGCTCCTCGGGAAACTGCAGAAATCTTTCACAGTATCATATAGAGCAAAACCAAGCAGTTATATCAAGCTTTCTCTTTCACTAACAACAGCCTCTATTGTTTTCTCTCTGGAAACTGCAGAATCACTGCAGCCTTTTTCAAAACCTTACCTTCCTTTGCGAACACTATTTTCTAAATCACTGGTTTAAAGCAGTGACTTAAACCATTGCTTATGTACTATCACACCAAAACCCTGCCTTTAAATCAGTCCCACTTCCCAACTTAGTACAGTCTCAATGCAGCTCAGAAGGCAGGCAATTCAATCCCAAAATCCAACCTCTTATCTCCTTCATTCTTTAGTGTATCTGTACCAGACACAGGATTTCCCTCCCCCCCATCAGAGCACAATAAGGGGGGGGGGAGGGAACAGAGGGGGGGACCTCCATGAAAAACCATAGAAGCACAGTAAACTTCGACAGATTGCATGAATATAAGTTTTCAATGCAAAGTAGCATTAAGTTTTATTCTAGGTAGAAAGCTTGCTGTCCAATTCCTACGAGGCATTCTGCATCACTGGTGATTCCATAGGACTACCTGGTTTGACAGGTAGTGGGTTAATAAAAAGCACTGGCAAATCCAGTGAGTCAAGCAGCTAGCAAAGAAACTGTCCTGTATTCATGGGAGATGCGGCAGAAGTGTAACTGAAGGGGATACTGAAGACAGCCCCAAGATTTGAATTGCAGTTCCTATAACAGCAACAAGACACAAGTTTGGTGTGTCTCCTTCACGTGTAACAGTATGAGCAGTTTCTATGACAGAACAGGTTTACAGTCGATTCCACAAAGCCTAAGCTGACTCTGCCGTTCACTCCAGCACCAGTGTTCCAAAACTGCTAGCATATCTATGTGCCCATTTTGAACCTTCCACAGACTAAGTCCAATCCTATTTTGCACATAAGGTTTTTATTGCTCTGCAATAGTTAGTTTTTACTTTTTGCTTATACCATCTGCATACATGATACCAAGCCTCACATCTTCATCAGTGGTAAAACAATGAAAGCCTCACCCAGTTCACCCCCTACTATATGCACGCCCCCATCAGGAATGGTCAATCCAAAGAGGTCCATGTTCCCCACCACAATACAAAGACCTTGCAAGTGGATGACCACAGCCATGCTGTGCTGAAACCACACACCTGCAGGTAAGAAAAGGTAACTGCTATATCAGACTGCAAAACAGTATTTACAGACACCATTTATGTTATACAATCCTAATGGCATCTTATGAAGACTAAGTACAAGTCTCACAAACATTTAAACACCACTTTTAAAAATTGTTTTGGCACTGCCTTGGGAAGCTGCTAACAACAGACTTTTTATTGCCTGCAGACAAAAAAATTCTGCCTACCAGGTTTTGGCTACAGCAGCGCTGCTACCATGAAGTATGCCTCACTGTATTTTACCCTACATATAAAAACAGAAGTAAAACCCCACACCTGTTAAAGTATTAACCCAGAAACAGTTTCTGTACTAGCTATTCATCTAAGGATCCCTATGCTCCTGCCTCATGTTTTGTTTATGCACACCATTTCATAGCAAGATGAGTACATTTTAGGACACAACCATAAGTTCCAGAAGATGTCCTTAGCACTGATATCTCAACA